TATAAAAAATAATACAAATAATCGTGTATGTAAGATGCATATGACGGCAAAAATCTGCCAAGGTAATCGCTTTTATAGGATCATTGTATTTGATTTTCTACTATGTTCCTGAAGACGTCATCGGGAAAGTTTTTATTTAGATAATATTATTTATTCTTCAGAATTTATTCATTAATTATAGCCAATGATTAGAAATATTTTTATTCTTCTTTCTCATCTTGTGAAAAATCAACATAAAATTAACATTACTGATCGTAACGACTCGCATATTTATTATCGAAAAATTGTGCATACGGCATAATAAAAGAAGTATTCACATTTTTTTTTTCTGTTATAGACTTTGGCGAAGTGGCACGCGAAGTCTTTGTCGATAAAATTGAAAGATCCCGAAAATTTTGAAAAATTGGCAAGTCCATTGAAGGAAATCCTTTTCCCGGTAGATAATCATACCGCCGTTGGTAATACCGTTGAAGGGGGTTTGATTAGTGCGATCGATCATTTGGAATCAATAAAATTTCAGACGGCAGAGTTGAAAAAGGCGATAGAGTATGTGAAATCTCTCAGAAATAAATGCTACGATATGATAGCAAAGTTGCTTTCTTTACCGAAAGATAGGTATTTTACTATCTGTCATGGGGATATATGGATAAACAATATTCTTTACAAACACGATAAGGACGGTCAAGTGTACGATTTGAAATTAGTTGATTATCAAATATCTCGGCATATGTCCGTTGCCATTGACTTCCATTATTTCATTTACTCGAGCGTAAGATCTTGCATTATTGAAGATAGTTATGATAATTTGATAAAACTTTATCATCATACATTTGTGGAAAAGCTGAGAGAGTGTGGCGTTTCCGAAGAAGATCTTAAGAATTTGACCATGGAATGGTTCAAATCGGAATTACAAAAATTCAGTTTGTATGGATTGATCACTGGATTCTGGTTGATCCACGCAGTACTCGCTGATGCGGATAATGTTGTAGATATGGATAAAATAACCGTCAAGGATATAGAAAACATGCAATTTTTTAATACGGAAATAACTCCAATCAAAGTCGAGAGATTTAAATTCATAATTTTGCATTATCTTCGAATGTATAAGCAGTAGATGGAATTTTTATGAAATAGACAAATGAAATAGCGTATTGCGTTTCGCAGATATAGACCATGTGTGACTAAGTTTTATACTTTTTAATCTTGCCAATTAAATTTTATTTGTAAAGAAGGGATTAGAATAATGTAATGTAATAATATGGGTGAAGAGGAAAATTATTTTTGTAATTTTATAGTATTAGAAACATTAACAACAAAAATGTTAAAATCTGTTATTCAGTTATTGAATAATTGAAGGAAACAAAAAATAAAAAATCACGGTATAATACAATCTATTTAAACAAATTAATTATTGTATTGTAAATGCAAGAAAGAAGAAATCAAAATAACGAAACAAATTCTGTTAATTTTTTACCTTAATTACGATGCATTCGAATATGTGCCAAATTATAAGTACATTGACGAGTTTTTCTCAGATCATGCATACATAATTACTTCTTTTTATATTTTAGATATACTATCGTCTATATCATAAATATTAAATTGGTTGTAAAAATATAAATTGTAATGCAAGGAGTTAAATAAAATTATTTAATCAAATAAAATATTAAACTTTAATGAGAAAGATCAGTAATGATCAGAAAGATCAGCATGTGTTTCAATGATTAATGATAAAACAATATTTAAAATATATATTTTTAATAAAAAAATATTTATTCTCTCAATTTAATTATATTGATATATATGAATACAGGATGTTTTACAATAATTTGAAAATATTTTCGGAATAATTTCAACATATTTGAACAGTAAAGTAGTTTAGATAAACATATACCTTATTTGGAATATGGTCTATGGATAATGGAACTTTAAAAATTACTACGCATCAGAATATTCAGACTATAGCACCTTTATATTTCTCATGTATTCTCTTATATCTTTTCTAAGTTTGATAAGAGTAAAAAATAAAACATTCCTGCAGAAAATTGACATTTCCTTCTTTGCAAAGCAATTTGTAGTAGCGTGATTATCAAATCATAAATTGTCAGTCTTAAGATATATTGTATAAATGGCATGGTAATAGAATGCTCCACTCTTATGTTAGTAAGAAAGGTGACTATTATTATTTACATTTTTCTTGGTCGGACAAACAGAAATAAATCTTACTGATCCTTTGTATAGTAGGAAAATGTTTACCATCATTAGAAATCAGGAATGTATCAACAATTATAAATCAGAAATCTACTATAGTGACTGATGGTAAAAAAGAAGTCTACGTTGTGTTTTGACAATGAACAAGTATCTACTGAATGGAATATATGTAAAGCAAGTATTTGATATTACTTTATTTTTACTCGGACGATTAAACAGAGAACTACTATTATCGATGTGTTTACTATTTCAAAAATTACATATAAACGTATAGTTGACCTCTTGCGACATGGTTTTTGGTGGCCTCTTCGACATATAGCCGCTTCTTTGGTTTGTGCCAAAATGTGGTATGTAAACTAGAACCATAATGTAATTCTACTGCTCATATAAACATCAATCATTCAATCAACTCATTTATTTTTTTGATTTTTTCATTTAACACGTTCAGTGAGAATCGACTGGTACATTTATGTTTAGAATTTCGTCCGGCTAAATCGTAAGCGAAGTAGTAAGTGCTAAAAATATTATCAAAACAAAAAGAAAGTTATTTGATATTGTAGAATAAGAGAAGTTTAACAATCGGTATAATTGAAAACTGAATCCTCTTTTGAGAATAGAGTTATAATTATTTATTAGATGTCACCATGGACGGTTTCGTATTACCGAAATCGCCTTCGATCCGGCATCGAGGAATCAGCGACAAATTTCTCTCAGCAGTTGGAGGACGTTATTGTACAGTTGTGTTTTATTCAACATCAGCCATGCTATCATGATTCTGGCTCCTCTCTAAAAGAATTCTCATTGGTGCGTGAGACGCTAAGAGATGGCAGAAATCGTCAGTAAAAATGACCTTCATGCGAGCGTGGTCCGTTACGTAACGATGATTCTGATCGTGATGGAGATAGGTTCGAAAGAACATGCCATGGATGAATACAGACGAAAAAGGCTTTTTGTTTCCTTTTTTATTTAAATTTTATAAGATATCATGATATATCGTGCAAAGAGTGTTCAAATTTTGTCAGCGTATGAATCAACTTAAATAGTTTTCGATAAAACAATAGACAATTTCTTTATTCCTTGCGAAATTATCCGAAATAATATTCCTTCCTTGGCACGTAAGCAAAAGTGGCACTTAATAAAATAAAATGAAAAAGAAAGGAATAATATTTCAAAGAAAACGGAATACTAATCGGATCTTTTATTCTTTTTTTTCTATAACTACAATAACTTAATACTTTCGAAACAATATCTGCTTCTTTAATGCCGCTTTCCCACTAGACGTGAACAACGAACATGAATTATATTTCGGTGGATTACGACTCGCGTGAAATTGTTATATCTCTTCACGACTTAGTAGGGACAATATCAAACAGATTTGATTTTTAATTGCGACAGAAGCAAACGTAAAACAGAATGTTTACATAAAACGTATGTTTACTTAAAATATATATATATATATATATATATATATATATGTATAGTTTAGAATTCAGAAATAATCAAGTTCCTATGTATTTGTTTTATTCGTTCAAGATAAAGCGTTCTATCTAGTATTCTACTAGCAATGATGCTAGATAAAAGGGAGGAGAGGAAATACAGAAGGAAGAGATAGAGATACAAAAACTGGATGATAATTCAGTGGGAATCCGTCCGATCGGACGGATTATCTCTTGATTTTGTTAATACTGAGTATTTCTGCTCGTGTGCGATCAAATGTGTATTCTTGGTGGGTAGAACATGTATATGTAATGTTGCGAGTGATACTGTGGGCTTAATAAAGTAATAATCAAATTTAGTAGTTTTGTATACTCGTGGTGCTGGAAACGTTCATAAGGACGGTAGTAGAATTATAATTTTTTTTCTTAGGAAGATTATTATTGTGAGAAAGAGAGAGAGGAAGAGAGAAAGAGACAGAGGAAGAGAGAGAGAGAGAGTAAGGGAGAGAGAGAGAAAGAGAGAGAGAGAGAAAGAGAGAGAGAATATATTCAAGTTACGGGAAGTCAGTTGATTCTTTGCAATACCTCCATTTATCTTCGGTGTTACATCAAAGCATTCTAATGCATTATTATGATAAGGCTTGCTATCAAGCAAATAGTTTGCTATCTGCCAAGGTCTAACACGATTATAATAAAAAATGGAGCAGAGATCTATGTCAGGTACGAGCGAAAGATTTTACGATAATATTGTTTTATAGATATTTATATATCATAATTCTATATTATATTATATTATATCATCTATATTATAGATATCATAAAGATCTTTAATAATACATTTGATTAGACGATTCGATTATTGTTACTTCTTTTTTTCTTTCGAAGCTGTTAACAAAGAAATTCAAATATTTTTCTTCTTTTACTTTTCGATTTTATTTTTGTTTTATCGATTTTCTCCAGAAGTCATAAAGAAGATGCAGCCTTTGTTGAGGAAGTTTGAAGGTGATGAAGAACTCGTTATTCATGAAGCCAAAGATGAGGCGGGTTCCAATATGGGAGACAACTATACCTCAGTTATGATCAGAACAGTAGTCATCGGAAAATATGGAAACGGAACTCGTTAGTATTACTCGTTGATTTTTAATTAACATATAAAATCTTTATTATCAATTTAATTAATAATCGATCAATGACTTATTGGTTAAGTTTCGATTTTTTGTTTCTTTTCTATTTGTAGCTTATAAAAAAAGTTTTATGACGAAGATACTTCCCCATTTCCGTCCTATTGCCCAATTAATCAATACCGAGGCTTTATACATTACCGAAGGATACATGTACGAAAAGATCCTTCCTATTGTCGGTGATTATGGTCCACGTTGTATTTACGTCGACAAAGACGAAATTATTATGCAAGACTTGCGCGAAGAAGGGTACATTAATTGCAAAAGACAAGATTATCTTGATTTGGAACATACTTTGTTCACCATTCAGGTACCATTAAAAATCTTTTTCTTGATATTTTTACATTAATTTTTTATTAATAATACTCACGTAAAACATTCTTTCCACCGGATATAATTATATATGTGTTCAACCGTTTATAAAAAATAATACAAATAATCGTGTATGTAAGATGAATATGACGGCAAAAATCTGCCAAGGTAATCGCTTTTATAGGATCATTGTATTTGATTTTCTACTATGTTCCTGAAGACGTCATCGGGAAAGTTTTTATTTAGATAATATTATTTAGTCTTCAGAATTTATTCATTAATTATAGCCAATGATTAGAAATATTTTTATTCTTTTTTCTCATATTGCGAAAAATCAACATAAAATTAACATTACTGATCGTAACGACTCGCATATTTATTATCGAAAAATTGTGCATACGGCATAATAAAAAAAGTATTCACATTTTTTTTTCTATTACAGACTTTGGCGAAGTGGCACGCGAATTCTTTATCGATAAAATTGAAGGATCCCGAAAATTTTGAAAAATTGGCAAGTCCATTGAAGGAAACCATTTTCTCGGTAGATGATAATTTCTTTGTTGACAGGAATGTTGAAGAGAGTCTGCTTAGTACGATCAATCATTTGGAGTCAATAAAGTTTCAGACGGCAGAGTTGAAAAAGGCGATAGAGTATGTGAAATCTCTCAGAAATAAATGCTACGACATGATGGTAAAATTGTTTTCCTTACCGAAAGATAGGTATTTTACTATATGTCATGGGGATACTTGGATGAACAATATTCTTTACAAACACGATAAGGACGGTCAAGTGTACGATTTGAAATTAGTTGATTATCAAATATCTCGGTATTTATCCGTTGCCATTGATTTCCATTATTTCATTTACTCGAGCGTAAGATCTTGCATTATTGAAGATAGTTATGATAATTTGATAAAACTTTATCACCGTACATTTGTGGAAAAGCTGAGAGAGTCCGGCGTTTCCGAAGAAGATCTTAAGAATTTGACCATGGAATGGTTTAAGTCGGAATTAAAAAAATTCAGTTTGTTTGGATTGCTCAGTGGATTCTTTTTTGTTCACATAGTACTCGCTGACGAGAATAGCGTTATAGATATGGATAAAATAACCGTCAACGATATAGAAAACATGCAATTTTTTAATGCGGAAATAAGTCCAATCAAAGCCGAGAGATTAAAATTTATAACTTTGCATTATCTTCGAATGTATAAGCAGTAGATGGAATTTTTATGAAATAGACAAATGAAACAGCGTATTGCGTATCGCAGAAATAGACCATGCGTGACTAAGTTTTATATTTTTTAATCTTGTCAATTAAATTTTATTTGAAAAGAAGGGATTAGAATAATGTAATGTAATAATATGGGTGAAGAGCAAAATTATTCTTGTAATTTTATAGTATTACAAACATTAACAACAAAAATGTTAAAATCTGTTATTCAGTTATTGAATGATTGAAGGAAATAAAAAATAAAAAATCACGGTATAATACAATTTATTTAAACAAATTAATTGTATTGTAAATACAAGAAAGAAAAAATCAAAGTAACGAAACAAATTCTGTTAGTTTTTTACCTTAATTACGATGCATTCAAATATGTGCCAAATTATAAGTACATTGACGAGTTTTTCTTAGATCATGCACACATAATTACTTCTTTTTATATTTTAGATATACTATCGTCTACATCATAAATATTAAATTGGTTGTAAAAATATAAATAGTAATGCAAGGAGTTAAATAAAATTATTTAATCAAATAAAATATTAAACTTTAATGAGAAAGATCAGTAATGATCAGAAAGATCAGCATGTGTTTCAATGATTAATGATAAAACAATATCTAAAATATATATTTTTAATAAAAAATTATTTATTCTCTCAATTTAATTATATTGATATATATGAATACAGGATGTTTTAGAATAATTTGAAAATATTTTCGGAATAATTTCAACATATTTGAACAGTAAAGTAGTTTAGGTAAACATATACCTTATTTGGAATATGGTCCATCGATAATGGAACTTTAAAAATTACTACGCATCGGAACATTCAGATTATAGCACCTTTATATTTCTCATATATTCTCCTATATCTTTTCTAAGTTTGATAAGAGTAAAAAATAAAACATTCCTGCAGAAAATTGACATTTCCTTCTTTGCAAAGCAATTTGTAGTAGCGTGATTATCAAATCATAAATTGTCAGTCTTAAGATATATTGTATAAATGACATGGTAATAGAATGCTCCACTCTTATGTTAGTAAGAAAGGTGACTATTATTATTTACATTTTTCTTGGTCGGACAAACAGAAATAAATCTTACTGATCCTTTGTATAGTAGGAAAATGTTTACCATCATTAGAAATCAGGAATGTATCAACAATTATAAATCAGAAATCTACTATAGTGACTGATGGTAAAAAAGAAGTCTACGTTGTGTCTTGACAATGAACAAGTATCTACTGAATGGAATATATGTAAAGCAAGTATTTGATATTACTTTATTTTTACTCGGACGGTTAAACAGAGAACTACTATTATCGATGTGTTTACTATTTCAAAAATTACATATAAACGTATAGTTGACCTCTTGCGACATGGTTTTTGGTGGCCTCTTCGACATATAGCCGCTTTTTTGGTTTGTGCTAAAATATGGTATATAAACTAGAATCATAATGTAATTCTACTGCTTATATAAACATCAATCATTCAATCAACTCATTTATTCTTTTGATTTTTTCATTTAACACGTTCAGTGAGAATCGACTGGTACATTGTTGTTTAGAATTTCATCCGATTAAATCGTAAGCGAAGTAGTAAATGCTAAAAATATTATCAAAACAAAAAGAAAGTTATTTGATATTGTAGAATAAGAGAAGTTTAACAATCGGTATAATTGAAAACTGAATCCTCTTTTGAGAATATAGCTATAATTAATTACTAGATGTCACCACGGACAGGTTCGTATTACCGAAATCGACTTCGTTCCTGGATCGAGGAATCAGCGACAAATTTCTCTCAGCAGTTTGAGGACGTTATCGTACAGTTGCGTTTCATCCAACGTCCTCAGCGCTTCCTTGATTCTGGACACCCTCTAGAAGTTCTCATAGGTGCGTGAGTCGCTACGGGTAGGCAGAAGTCGTCAGTACATAATGTCCTTCGAGCGAGCGTGGTCGGTTACATGACAATGATTCTGATCGTGATGAAGATAGGATCGAAGGAACGTGTCATAGATAAATACAGAAGAAAAAGACCTTTTGTTTTTTTTTTTATTTAAATTTTATAAGATATCATATGATCGTGCAAAGAGTGTTTGTTTGAATTTTTGTCAACGTATGAGTCAACATAAATAGTTTTCGACAAAACAATCGACAATTTCGTTACTCCTTGCCAAATTATCCGAAATATTTCTTCCTCGGCGCGTCAGCAAAAGTGGCACTTAATAAAATAAAATGAAAAAGAAAGGAATAATATTACAAAGAAAACAGAATACTAATTGGATTTTTTATTCCTTTTTTTCTATAGCCACAAAAACTTAATACTTTCGAAACATCATCTGTTTCTTTAATGCCGCTTTCCCACGAGACGTGAACCACGAACGTGAATTATATTTCGGTGGAGTACGACTCGCGTGAAGCTATTATCGTGACATTTAATGTCTTCACCATTCAGTAGGGACAATATCAAACAGATTTGATTTTTAATCGTGACAGAAGCAAACGTTAAACAGAATGTTTACATAGTTGTTTTCATTGTTATGAATTAAAAAATTAAAACATTCATACTAAACACTTCACACTTTCCACAAACGTGAAAGAATATTGAAATGACCACGAAAAGATGATTCATGTTGGTGGCTCTAGCCTTGTTAGAACGCGCAATAAAATTTTAATTCATTAACTTAGTACTTGAATTCATTAACTTTTAATGAACGTGGAAGGATCATAACATGATCGTCAGAGAGGATCAGGAGGATCGAAAAATTGAGATCACTAGGGCGTTAGCTTTTACCCGTGAACTTCATTCGGTTCGTTGATCTTTCGGCGAGTCATGCGTGTGGATATTCGACGAGCTTTGTACTACAACGACTATTGTCGAATAGTTCATTGTCAGGCCTTTCGTAAAATATTTTATCGACAAAAAAAACAGGCATCCAAGTGAGAAGAAAAAGAAGAAGAAGAAAAAGAAGAAGAAGAAGAAGAAGAAGAAGAAGAAGAAGAAGAAGAAGAAGAAGAAGAAGAAGAAGAAGAAGAAGAAGAAGAAGAAGAAGAAGAAGAAGAAGAAGAAGAAGAAGAAGAGAAGAAGAAGAAAGAGAAGAGAAGAAGAAGAAGAAGAAGAAGAAGAAGAAGAAGAAGAAGAAGAAGAAGAAGAAGAAGAAGAAGAAGAAGGGGAAGAGGAAGAAGAAGAAGAAGAATACGAAGGAGAAGAAGAAGAAGAAGAAGAAGAAGGAGAAGAGGAAGAAGAAGAATACGAAGGAGAAGAAGAAGAAGAGGAAGAAGAAGCAGGACTACAATCGATTGAAAGTTTTCGTGAGAGCAGTCTGTCTCGATTAAGCCAGTCACGTGGTCAACGAGATCATCTGACCGGCGGGAAGAAAGAAAAAAGAAAAATTCAGTTCAGTCTCGTTCATCTTTCTCTCTTTTCTTTCCGGATAACATCGTCACGTACGTTAGAGGTATGTACATGTAACGCATTGATAATTATCCTTCATTTTTTTTCAATAAAACATTATTGAGAATTTGTCGGTAAGGTGATACAATATTATATCCGATGTCTTTCGAAAATGAGATCTATAGGCGAAGAGTAGTTACTTGATAACAATAAAAAATAAAGTGAAAAGGAAAAAAGAGATGAAAAAAACTTGATATTGTCGATGGTAGTAGATTAGGATTAGTGAGGTTTCATCGTCAAGTTGCAAAGTTGTGCGTGTGAACGCAAAAATCTCGTCTCTGCTCGTACTTTTATTAAAGAATTTTTAAAAAAAGAAAAAGAGAGTTTTCCGTTTGTCGACCCGTGTACATAAAGGGATATTGCGTTCGTAAATCTAGGCCGGTGATTATGATCTCTCTGTGTTCATCACTTCATTTCTTTTTTCCGGTTTTTTACTTTCTTCGCAGTCGAATTACAAAAGATTCGAATATATTTTCATAACGAAATACTTTATCGATTTTCCTTTTCAGTATAGATAATTAATGAAAACAGGTTTCTTTGTGATGATGTATTGAAATAAAAAGAAAAAAAAATAAGTAAATAAATAAATAAATATAAAAGAAAGAAATAGGAAACGCCGATCGATTTTCAAGGATAGCCTATTTAGGAGAACACATTTATTTCGAGATAAATCCTATGGCGATGGTCACGATTGCGATATAAATTTTTGATGTCGACATAGAGAGAATGATACCCTCCGTCATTATTCATTTATGTGAATTACGCGTTCTTCCCTTTGTAGAATGACCGATAGGAATTCACGTCATTTCACGATCATTGCATGTCTCGTTGTTCTTCTATGAAGTCTTCTCGATCTGATTCTCCGTTTAGAATTACGATCGGTAAGTTACTCGTAATCGTATTTTTCGTCCTTTTGCTTTTCTTAAAGCCAATAGAGAAAAATTATCCGACATATTTAAGTTCCGACGTTTCTTTTCAAATGTGCCACTCGTGAGGGTAATTTACTTCGTGGTTGGACAATATTCGAGAGGCTCTTTTCTTTATGCTATATTTAAAATAACTAAAATACTATAGAAAAAATTCTGTTTTGGAGTACAACGACAAGTTTCTTACATTAATGTATAAAATGTACAAGTCGCTAGTAAACCTATAACTTGAAATACTTATATCTGGATGAAATTTTTCAATATTTATTGAATTTCAAAAAATTACAAACGGTAAACGTGCACGGAATAAACCTTTCGAAAGAAATGAACAAATTAAAAATAAGAAGAAACACTAGATATACATTTTGAAGAGAGTTCTCTTGCGATTTCACCGACGTAATAAATAATTCTCGGACGAATTGAAGTTACATAGATGACGAATGAAAGGAAATTTCCTCTTGGTAATATTTTGCATAGTGTGAAAGCATCAAGTGATAATGACGACAATTCGTTTCTGGTTTTATCAAGAGAAAGAAAAAGAGGATTTAGCTTGGTAGGATATTCTACCGGAAAGCGAACGGTCGATCTACGATGATTACGCTCGATCTACTTTTCTTCTGGTAATGCATACGTATCGATCATTTTATAATCGCGATAAAACGTGCCATCGATCGTATTTTTTATTTTTTGTTTTTTCTTAATGATTCGTTACGGTTGTTTATATCTCTTTGGTATATATATACATATGATATATATATATATATATAATATATATATATACACACATTTATATATGTATATAAATATATATAAATTGACTGTACTGGAATGACATACATTATAGGCAAAGTAAGTTAATAAAAATTCAAAAGCATTAATAATAAGTGATACAAATGTGTAAATAATGAAGATAAATATGTAGATTAATGGAATAAGACAGAAAAAATATAAGAACGTTTAAAGAATGACAACAAAGTAATTATTAATGGCAGGAACCTGTTCTGAGAGTAAAGAAAAAAGAGAATTAATTCGTGCCGTAATTTGCATTTTATATTTTCGTTTATTTTATTACGTAATCATTTGTAATTTTTATTCGTATCGTCATGTTTAGGTCCTAGACATAATTATAAATTCTTATTATGCAAAAGTAATAACGCATAATAATTATTATAATTTTATAGATTAATACAACTATTATATATAAGAAAAAAACGGATAGTTTTGTTATTTTATTTATGTATGTTTTTTGAAAGCAACGATTTTCAGTTTTAATGGCTTCCGAAACGTATGAGAAATTAATATAATGAATAGAGATGAAGAGAAACAGGGAGAGACAGACAAAGAATGAGAGAGAGAGAGAGAGAGAGAGAGAGAGAGAGAGAGAGAGAGGGAGAGAGAGAGAGAGAGAGAGAGGGAGAGAGAGAGAGAGAGGGAGAGAGAGAGAGAGAGAAAGTACATAGATATATAAAACCTACACATATAAAGAGAAAAACATTGTAGAAGTGTCAAAGGAAGAAAACGAAAGAATCGACGTATCGTACTCATTTATTTTGATTATAAAATATTTTACCTGGGAATATTCAATTCTCTTTTATCATTCATTTCTTTGATAAAATTTCAATTTGATCATCTGTCATCACTGATTTTCACAATTTCTATTTACCGTGAAATTTATTAATAACGCGTTTAACGTTTAACGTGTAAGTGGATCTCTTTCAAAAAGAGATTATATCTTTGCGAATATTATAATTAATTATTTTCTACTGGTGTGTGTGTGTGTGTGTATAATTCTTTCTTTCTTTTCTTTTATGTGTTAAAGTTAATATGATATATAAAAGAAAATCAACTGTTGTTCTTATTATCGCACGTTCATCGTGATGTAAGATATACGCTTGTTATTACGTTTGGAACTACCTGCCATTATTCTTTTCTTTTTTTTACGTACGTATCGACCTTTTATATCGTTCGTTCTTTTTATTCTTACGTGTTATTAATCTTTTCTAAGATAAGATAATCGATTATATAGGAAAGAAACATTAGGAACAAAAAAGCAAAAAAAGAAAGGAAAAAATCATAGTAAATTACGTCGATGTTGTTCCGGTTCATTAACTTACTTTTTTCTTTATTATCTTGAAATATGATCTTTTATACATATTTTCTGTTTTCTTTTTTTTTCAACACTTTCATAACTTTCACTGTTGCTTTATGTATAATTACTTAATAACAAATATTATTAAACAAATTTTATGAATGTTTTAATTTCTAATTAAACGTATGCGTTAACAGTAAGAGTATTTATGAATTACAAACAAAGAGAACTATGAGATTTTGGTCATCATTTCAACAAGACTTACCCCACTAAAATCATTCTCTCATGATCGATTTAATAGTAGTGAATCACACAAAGCTAGTTGAAATGCATAAATGACACGTTTATGGGCGGTTGCAGGTGAATGAAACTATTTATTGCGGTATTATGCTCGAATGGCCGATGCTTCTGGTTAATTTGATCTGTCGACTGGCTGCGTAAAATCAAATAAGCTCAACCAAATCCTACAGTTTCCATCCATTTTCTATTGTTATTTGTTCGTGATTCGTTAGTTTCAGTGCTCAGTTACCATTTAAAGCTGCTGAGAAATTTAGTATGATCTCGTTCCCATATTTGTTCGATTGCATTTCCGATCTTTGAAGCTTACAATATAAAATATTAAAAAACGAATATATTGTCAAAAAAGCGTATATATTTTTTAAACTTTTTAATTAACATGAATCGAATAAGTTAATTCTTTAGACTTAAGAATCATTACATTTTTTTACAATTGATTTTAATAAAAAAAGAAAAAAAATATAGACAAAAATTAATTATAATTGAATAATAAAAATATCTAGAAAAAAAAGCAGAAATATCAAAAGGAACATTTTGTATCCATCTTGAAAGCCTATGTATATGTATTGCGTTTTACGTTCCGCGAAATTGTATTATAAATATTATATGCGATCGGTCCAAATTGATATCGAATAGTCATCGTTATGGAATATATCCATCATTTATAATCATCAAAGATTTATTTCGTAAAATATTTTCTTATCGAAAATATTGTCCTCCCTCGATATCGATCGTTATAATTATTTTCCATGGAAACAGAATCCCTTGGTTCTTCTTGATCGTAAGAAGTGCGAAATGAAGAAATTCAATGACAGCCTCTTCCCCACTGTACACGTTCTTCTTTCACGATGCGAGGACCCTTATAAATACTTTTAATGAAGTCCGTTGGAGTAATTTCTAATTCCAATAATATTCGTGTCTCGACGAGATCGATCGATGAAATCATCTTACTATGTAGTTAAAAATTGCGTAGTAAACGTTAACGCTATACATTGAAAGATTTTGCTTATTTTGAATAATACAAATGTAGGACATTTAAAAATATAGGACATAGAGGACGTTAAAAAACTAAAACTTGAATATCCTAAATTTGTATTAAAACGAAACAATAAAAATATGACGATAATTAAATAAATAAAGGATTGATTAAATATTTAAAATAGTTTTCGCAAACGAGAAAGAAATATTTATAAAAATATTTGATCTCATTATGCATGAAAAATCATAACTAATTAATTGCATTAGAAAATTTTTATATTAATAATTATTTTTTGTTTCGAGAGAAGATTAAAATTATTACATTGAGCTTTTTAATAAATTAAACGTATTCATGTATTTTTTAGATTATCTACCATCGCAAGCTGAAAGGAGAAAAAACACTAGCCTGGGATGAGAATCACACAAACCACGTGAACAGTCGAGAAAAATCGAATGAAAATCGTATAGCTCATTTAAGTCAAATAATTTCGAGTATCCTCATTTATCGATCTTCCTTCTACTTTTCTTCCTCCTTCTGCTTCTCTTTCTTTTCCTCCTTTTCTTCCCTCACGAAGAAAAAATTTGCAATCAAGATGGAGACTACCTGGGACATTGGGATCTTAAATTTTACGAAAGAATTAAATCTAAGCTTTTGCAATGGCACATATATTGAAAATTGCAATGAATTTGAACTTGATGAAATTGGCTATGATCGTGATCTTATAGAGAAGATTGTCCGCGTGATAGTGCCGGTTTTTTTTGGGATGATTGGTATACTCGGTTTGATTGGAAATACTCTTGTGGTCATTGTTGTAGCTGCAAATCCAGGCATGAGATCAACTACTAATATTCTCATCATTAATCTCGCAGTGGCCGATCTTCTTTTCGTCATATTTTGCATACCGTTCACAGCGACTGATTTTGTCTTACCTTTTTGGCCATTTGGTAATATCTGGTGTAAGATCGTTCAATATCTTATCATCGTCACTGCCTATGCTAGCGTCTACACGTTGGTCCTTATGAGTCTCGACAGGTAAGACCAGTTTTTATTTTACTTTCACTTTTCATTTTCTTTTTTCTGTAATTTTGATATTACCAGTACTGTTTTGCTTGCGAATTTATTAATATGTTTCTTAAGTATCGAAAATGTTTTAGCATGAGATAATTAGGTAAACAGAGGTTTGACTGTTCTATTTATAAATATAATACATGTAATATATATTTAAAATAAACTAATATTTAAATGAGAACGCAGTATACATATATATACATATATATATATATATATATATATATATATATATATATAAATATATAGATGTATTTTTTATATTTATATTAATTCTGTTCTCGAGCGAAACAGCACATGTATAAAAGACATATTATATAATATGATATAAATTCGTAGATTATTAAATATATCAAGTATAATTACAGTTCCATGACTAACTATTGTAAAAGTTCTTAAAATGCAAACAAAGTGAAACGAAGAAGTTCACGTACTCGCTGTGTTTGCTAGGTTGATCCAATTTTTTGTGTTCCTGTACTTTTTTCTTTCAGTCTATATGACGAAGCTTTTTCTCACGTAAAAGATGTAAATATATACCAAAAATGCTTTCCTGAGTGGTGAACTCTTGACAGGCGTCGTGCATAAATTTTAGATACCGGGGTCACATATTCCATTTGGCAAGACACACAAATATCTGACTTCTCTTCGTTTCGTATTCCATACCATTGCGGCATGATTCTCAGTGCGACAAAATGAACGTCGACTTCCGATGGACCTTCTTAAAATTCATTCGCCTCGTATTTGCCGTAGAAAGGAAAACTACGAAAGAGAGAAAGAGAGAGAGAGAGAGAGAGAGAGAGAGAGAGCGAGCGAGAAATAAAGAGAGAGAGAGAGAGAAAGAGAGAGCGAGAGATAAAGAAAGAGAGAGAGAAAGAGAGAAAGAGAGAGAGAGACATACAGATAGACATACAGACAAAGAGAAAGAAAGAAGGTAGAGAGAGATAAAACCACATCGTGGTTTTTTCTTCTTCGGCTTATCCTTTCGCTTGCGAACGATAAAATCGTGTCGTCGCGTTGCTAATGTAGCCCTTCGTGCGGAAAATACTCGTCGATTTCTTTAAAGGAGATATACGGGTATTAAAAAAAGTTCCAACTGATACATCAGACTCGTTAGAAACACGTGGAATGCTCATCAGATATAAAAAATAAAAAAAAAAAAGGAACAACAAATTTTACATATCCAATATGTTAAAACGTAATAAACAACTAATATAAAACTCTACTTTTAAACATAACAGGTTTAAAATAATGAAAATGAATATAATTTTGAACGAGTCATATGTTAGAAAAAGTAAAGATATTTTTTTTAGTAAATTATATTATATGCGACTCGCAAAGAATTTCATGCTTTTTTTTGCCCAATGATTTAGATGATGGAAAATTCTTTTTCTTAGTCTGTAGTCTTTATGATGACAGTTTCAAGCCTATGGTGTTAGTTTAGTTGCGTGTGATACACTTCTTTAAAATATTGTTGTTTATTTCGTTCATAGGATTACAACTCTACTTAATTAAATTTGATCCTTTTCGTATTCTGTATTTTGAAGAAATGAATACATTTCGATATGTTTATGTATTTTATTATGTCTTGACAAAAAAATTTGTTTTACACGATACCACTTCGTAATTTGCACAATATTAATCCAACAATTATATATATATATATATATATATATATATATATATATATATATATGTTAAGTATTATAAATGTAAATAATTAAATTTTTTTCCACTTATAAGAAATTATTAAAAAGTCATATTGTTAAATATTTTTTTTACATTAAAATTATTTTTCATATTGCATATAATGTTTTAAAATTATATTAACATCAGATAATTACATTTATTCCTTTGTGCTTTTTTGATATTTGAAAACATTGGAGCATACATCGACGACGATTTTATATGTTGTCGTAAAATAAATACGAAAAGAATAACACTAGATGCAGTAGAAAGAGAAAGCCGAAGGAACGTCAAGATTTCGGTTATATAATATATTACACTGATAATAGATCTTATGTTAGACGAACTCTCATCCAATAATCGAGTTAGAGTACAAGGAAAAAGAAGATATTTTCCTTGTGTTATCAATAGAAATGCTGAGGTGTTGTCGTGACATCGGTTCTCACAGGACACATCAGACTCTTGTATATTCGCGTGAAAAATAGCGAGAAAGGATATTTCATTGGAAAAGGGAAAAACGAAGTGCGTTCTACTTCTTACTTTATACAAGAAAATGTAGCTCGGAAACATTTTTGTGCCGTGCTCTCGTTACAAGCCTTTCCTTATTCTCTCTCTCTCTCTCTTTCTCTCTCTCTGTCTCTCTCTCTCTCTCTCTCTCTCTCTCTCTCTCTCTCTGTTTTATCCATTTTTTTTCTTTTTTCTTCTATTTTTCTTTCTCTATAAACTTTACACTTATCGTTATACATGGAATCGATATGTCATAAAGAGTTTAAGGGATAAAGCATAAGTCATTGAAAAAAAATAAACATATTTACGTATACATTGTTTATATGTATTTATGTATATATATATATATATATATATGACTTTCGTTCTTTACTAGTTTCATTATATATAGCTTTCATTCGTAACATCTAACATAAGATTGAAAAGTCGTCGTGGAATATTCGTCCAAGAATTCCTTTATCGATTTGTATCGCGATACATTCAATTCCCCTTTTCTTCCGACTGACGAAACGATCAATCATTTCTTTAATCAACGAAAGCATTAAAGCATCGGGATGAAAACTGTTGGCTCTGAGCGAGGAAAGATTTTTTTTTTGCTACTACATGTGCACCTTGTATATACATACATATATAAATCGTTCGTCGGTGAAAAAGAAAATAAAAATTGGAAATGAAAAACCTACTGTGAAAGAAAAACAATCGTAAAACGAAAGAAAGTTTTTTTCAATTTTTGATTAAAATTTCTATATCTATCGTCATATAGTGCAAGTCGGTGTATCAATATGTAAAAAAATAAGCAAAGATATAAAATTACACATTTGATTCGATTCGTTAAATACAAATAATTCTGTAAATAAGAAGATGATGTCAATAAAAAAGCTTCTACGATATTACACCGTATCAGATACTAAAGGAGATGAAAATAATAATAAATGTTACTTTTGTTACTTACAGTATTTCATCGTGAAAAATAATATTTTTTCTTCTAGTTATTACTATTTTTTGTTTCTTTTCTTTCAATTGATTATTACATATTTACTGATAATATATTGATTCAGCCAATAAGTAATTTCGGAATTTTTAGTAGTTATGTCTAAATAAATAACATTATTATTTTTTACTGAAAATTTCGTATAATCTATTAATTGAAAAGACAATAGAATACAAATTCACATTCACAGTTAATTTATTTAATTTGTTTCTTTTCTGTACAAATTTTCTTACGATAATTTCGGCTGACTAGTCGAAACCTTTTCACTTTTTTTTCTTTTCTTTTTGGTATACTAATTTGTAAAAAACGAAAGGATTATATTTATCATTTATTTATTCAACTTTCTTTCTATTTTCGAGTAAACTATTTTCTATAGTTAAAACTTATCATACATGAATCGCATTTTACATTTATTAGAATTCATCTTAAATGGAACTATTTAAGTTCTATTTATATTTTATCTATGAAACTAGAGTTTGAATATAAAAGATAATATTTTTCTGTAGTATTCATATGATTATAATAAAAGCCGATAGGACGAGAAAAATTCCTCTTTCAGTATACATATGTAAATATTGTAACCATATTTCGATTACATAGGTGTGTATGACAAATACGATTATATCCATGACACTCCCATTTTCTCATACATAGCGACCTATTAATCATCCATTCGTACACATTCATCGATCTAATTGTAAGTTCAGAAGATCAATGCAAGCACTCACACTATACTTTTTCGATAGATCGTGATCGAAACTTATCTACTTGAGAAAATTCAGTGACAGTAAATGACGTACAACGAGAAGTTACGAATTCAAATCGGATCCATTGCCGAAATAATCATCGATAGATAAGGATATCCGTCATATTAAATTAAATTTATTATATATATATAAATAATTGTCATTGTGTTAGAATCGTAACGACGTATTACATATAGTCCAATTTACCATTCTCATATCTTCTAATTCAACGATATTCTGTCTTATCATCAGCTATTAAGCACAGAAGAGTCACCCAGCTCACTGAAAAATGTCCTGTCTCCGCTCATTCGTGTTATCATTATGAGTTGGGGAAACCGTTCGCAACCCCAGTTTGACGACCAGATTTAACCTAGATGAAATCATATAGCCTGGTACAGGAATAGTATTTGAGCTTGCTTAATAAAAGCGCCCTCCTTCGAACTCTTACATGTGATGTATTAACCGAACCGTTATGGTGTATATCTTTCTGACACAATTTATCCGAACATACAACTTAGTACACGAAGGTGTCACGAAGAAGATCGACTCGTCACGCTTGTCTTTCTTAACAAATCCTGTATCCATGCGATCTTATCGATTCGGCGAATGATTTTGAGAAGCGCGCGGGAGTTCCCAATAATATTTATATTACAACATCTGCATAGCGATTAATCAATTTGATCTTTTAATAATAATGGAAACGTAAGCAAGAAAATCTCAAGATAATATTCATAGTGATCTATGATGATAAAATTATCAGTATTATGAATATCGTTGGATATCGATAGTAGTTACTGTTTCTTTTATAATCAATTATTCACATGTTGAAAAATAAACAAATTTAGTGAGAATTTAAATTATAGAATACATGTTGCGATCATTGATTTTTATGAAATATGCATATATTTCTTTATCCTTACTAAGTATCCATTCAGAGTTTTTTATGTAGTCTTTTATTTGATGATTTAAAGACTTGAAGCTTATTTTTATCAATAAATTAAAATCTATTAATGTAATCGTATGTGTATTAGTAAAGAGTTAAGTAAGATCATCAAATCAAGACTTTATGGCGTAAATTCTTATATTTTAAGATTTATATTACCAAGACCCTTTGAAAAAATATGGGTTATAATATATTATTTATATATATTTCAAAATTGTACTTGAAGTGATTCCTTCTCATGTGACTCCTATTATAGAATAATTGTACATCGACTATTGCCAAAGTTAGGAAAGTTTCTCTAATTTCGCTTATTACTATCTCTCTATATCTGTTCCTTAATATTCTCTCTCTCTCTCTCTCTCTTTCTCTCTCTTTCTCTCCCCCTCTCTCTCTCTCTCTTTCTCTCTCCTTTGCTCTCAGGTATTTGGCGGTGGTTCATCCGATAACATCGATGTCTTGGAGAACAGAGAACCATGCGATTTTAGCGATTTGCATCGCATGGGCATTTATATTTGCTTTATCTACACCAGCTCTCGTTATTCATGGCGAGGTAAGTCAGTCAAAATTTATTAGAGATTTTCGATAATTGATTTCAAAAGGAAAGGAAGAGAACACATGAAAAGATCCTACTTTTTTTTTTATATCGTAAGTATAGCTATTTCTTTGGATAACTTGTAATTCATTTAAAAATCGATCGATTGAACTTGAAAAATATATATTATATTTTCTCATGGAATTTTTCATATTATTTTTTTTTTATATTAATTTTTATCTTAAAATGTCGATTAAAAATCAAAGCGTAGATGATTCAACCTATTTATTCATGTAAAAATGTTTGATGTTATGATGTTGTTATTGTTTATGTATATCAACATGTCTGAAATACACTTTGTTGAGATTACGGTTGATAAAGCCGTGAATATAAAAGCGTAAACAAATGTAGTCTATTCGTCAGACATTCTGTTTTAAAAATAATTCATATTTTACGTTTATTATGCAGATCGATTTTCGAAAGTAATAAATTTACTTTGAATTTGTCGTACAATTGTAGATGATTAGTTGTATTTTGTATACCTGTTGATTTATTATACATTTGGTATTCTGAGTTCAGTAGTTGGAATGCATTTCATCTGGATTAATTATACAAACAGACATACATACAAATACACATATAGATCATTCACAATAATAATGACAACACTAATTAATATAATGATAATTATAATTATAATGATAGTGACAATGTATAGAACGGGGAATAAATAGAACGTAACAGCGTACAGAATCTGTAGACATTGTAATATATATATATATATATATATGATTTTAAATATATGTATAAATGAATATATGTGATGAAACATTTAATTTAATGATTTATTAAAATTTATTATAAAATTCGAACTTTCGACATCTCTTATCTTTCCTAATTTATAGTCTTTTTTCTTTCATAAGAGTTGTTCCCTTATGTATGTAGATTCACTTTACGTTTCAGGACTTGGACGATTCGTCGACGGCTTGTCGGATCCTACCGCAATATGATTGGTCCTTTTTCCAGGTATCCTTCTTCCTAACGAGTTACTTGCTGCCATTGACGTTGATATGCGTCTTTTATGTCTGTATGCTTGTCAGACTATGGCGTGGTGCTCGTGTGAGTGCCGAGAGTCGACGAGGAAGAAGAAGAGTGACTCGTTTGGTTCTCGTCGTTGTAGGCGTTTTCGCAATATGTTGGTGTCCGATCCAGGTGAGTTAACTATTTTTTCTCTCTTCAAGACTTAAATATTTCTATAAAATAAACTAGGTAAAAGATGAGGTCAATGATGATTTTATCGATCAATATGATAAATTTAATTATTTAACCGAAACAATCATAGTAATTCTTGATTAACCAATCCTTTATAATGAATCAATAAACGAAAAAAAGTTATATCCATATGTATATATCTATATGTGTATATCTATATGTATATACTTGTATGTATATATACGGAGAGCGCATTTAATCAATAGGTTAATACACATATATACGTACATTTAACCAATTAAAATAAGTAATAGTATACATACTATATTTTTCGAGTAGATAGATATCGTTTGTAGACCCATTATCGTAATCATTTAATCTCAGAAAATTGTACCGATCAATGTGTAGGTATTTAAAAAAAAAGTAATTAGAAATACTCATGTAAATATCTATTTATTTTTACAGGTGATATTAGTTACGAAGTCTTTAGAGGCGTATCCTTTAAAATCGGCGACGATTATGGTCCAGATAGCGAGTCACATTCTGGCGTATACCAATAGCTGTGTCAACCCTATCCTTTACGCTTTTCTCAGCGATAATTTCCGAAAGGCCTTTCGGAAAATCATCTATTGCAGGCCACGACAAGATCCACAAAGATCGGGTCCATCAACAAAAACTACAAGAGCCGCTAGCACCGGTGACATCCTATGAGTAAGTTAATAAATTGATAAACTTTTTCCTTAGAAAATTGAAAATTAATTCGATATTTAATAAATATTTAATTCATCAAGTTTCATCAAATATTTTCATAATATATTTTGTCTTTTTAGAAAGAGAATTAAAAAAGATCGGAGAATTAAAAAAGACGAGAATAAAATGCTCGTTCATGTCTAAAAATATTACAAATTCTTTTTATAAAATAACGTCTGGAAAAAATTTAATTACCTCTTGATATAAAATAAAGCGATAAAAACGAATAGTTTTATCACGTTGGCAGGTAATCTTTATTTTGTACAATTCGAGAATTTTTTTTTCTTCTCTAAGAAATACGTTTTCTTCTTTTTTCCACTCATTTTTATCTCTCTCTTTTTCTCTCTCTTTTCTTCTTTCGTATTCGTAGGCGTAGTCGAGTACTCGACTCAAGTTCGAAACGTGAGCCTATCCAAAGAAGAGCGTATAAGAGCGAGAAAGATGGAACATTTTAGAGGGTAGCGTACTAGTAGAGAATGTCTAGGTTGCAGCAGTCTGTTCTAAATTACGCTTCTCGTTTCGCCGCGAGTGCAATTTCCTGCATTTTCCGTGCCATCGAGCCAACAGGAATCAGCCGGTATCTTTTTCCCGTACGGAAGACCAAGTACCAAACGAATCTAGAACTGTCACGAGAGCGATTCTTAACTTCGACCTTTCTTTTTACAATTTTACCATCGATTTTCATTCAAATCTTGAAGCGATAAGAAGAAATTGAAATATTGGTTTTCATTTAAAAGGAATTTTCCTTTTCAAAATTAGATACGGGCAATTTTAACGTTTAGAAATAACGAAAATTACATTTTTACAATCCTTTTGCATGATTTTATCGATCTATTCTCTATTTATCATCGTATCGTTATTTATTCGATATATCTTTACAAAAAAAGATAGACATTTGTTATAATACAATAGCATCCATATCGGATCTTTTACATTAAAATATTATGTCATTACAATTTGTTAGTCATTCTATCGTTATTACTGTACAATTATTGATCTTAAAGGAAAAGCACTTTGCTTTTAAATTTTCTTTATCACTTTTATGAATGATCTATTATTTTAGCAATATTCATGAAAATAATATTATAATAGTCATTAAATGAATATTAATGCGAAAATAATGAAAAAATTACATCATCGTTATCATTTTTTTTTTAATGAAATTTAATGAAAAAATAAATTGTTGCGCATGTGTCATATTGCGCATTAAATTATATTAAATGTTAATATGTTATAATTTCAAGATTACATGTATAATAAAATTGACACTTCATTCATATATCGTGGTACTAGAAGAACCGAAATAAATTCTTTTTTCTCGCTGACGTTTTCATTTATGAAGAAGAACTTATTCAGGCGTGCATATCGTCTGATCGAAGAGGAAATTGTGGGATGAAGAGAATTCACACGAGACGGGATCTTCTCGGGATTATCGATTTTCTTGGCACGCACGAACGAACGTTAATAAACGTACATATTATGCCGTAACTTCTTATTATTCTAAATTTTGTAAGTTATAGTAAGTTATATCGAAAATGTACTTAAACGTAGTCAAGATATTGTAATATTATTCAAAGAAATGAAAGAATGCAAAGAATTTTTTTAAATTCGTTTAACTTGATTCTTAAAAGCAGCTCATTTTACTTGTGCACGTTTGTCCTTTTATCTCATATTTCGTTGAATAAATTGCAACAGAATAAGAATAATATTTGTTATATAAAGTGTCATAGAATTTAATTTAGGGAAAATACAGAACGTAAAAGTAATCAATATCAAATGAACGAACGAAAATGTTTACAGAATTGTTGATCATTGTTTTAACTATAAATCGAGTAAAGTAATTAAAAACAAGCGTCGTAAGATTTTATTACGTTCTTTTATTTAGAACGTAATATTTAATTACATCCGCAGTATATATAATATTTACGCGAGTTCGATATCCATTTTCTAATTTCTTTCTTTTAATGGAATTTAATATTACGGATTATTTATTTATAATAATTTAAAGTTGAAATGATGAGGATAAAATATCACTTAAGGATATGAATTATTTTTAAAGATTTATTTCTTTTTATTTTAAATAACATGTCGTTCGAATTTATAGGTTTTAGTAGTAGGTCATAATGCATTCATCATTTTTTAAATGAATATAAAATACGTTCTTTATGAAGTAAAGTAAAAAGAAACGTTCTTTTACATACACTTAGATGAGTCACTTAACATTTGTAAACTTAAATATCTTAATTCGTCTAGGAAAAAATTCTGAAAAAGAACGTTCGATTTAAGAAATGCTGATATAGCGAAATTGACAAATAATCAAGTTTAATTTAGAAAAATATCGATGATTCTAATATTTCTCAATATATATTATTATCAAAAGGCAAAATTTTTAACCTCCATTATATGCCTTTTAATCAAATATATTTTTCTTGAGAAATGTTTTTTTTTATTATCGAAAATAACCAAGATATTGAATCTTTCAGTTGTGGATGACTCGAATATCCAAACACTTTTTATTATACTATAGTAAAAAATTTCAGATTTATGTATTCACCAAAGTGTATATAAAAAGGTAACATAAAAAGACCATGACATCCAAAGATACTTCGACTAACTCGGTTATAGTTCGTAGCGATGTACCAAGTTTCGATTCTCTGTGATGTAATATCAAACTAGACAGAAAGAAAGAAGGGAACAGTAAACGAACGAAGGAAAACTTTCAGTGATTTACGAGGAGCGGAAAGGCGGAAACTGTGAAATAAGGGGTAAGCTCCTGTCGTAAAGCTTTTATTTTAGAAAGAGAGAACGAAAGTGAAAGGAAAAAAGGGTGTATGAGAGAAAGAGAGAGAGAGAGAGAGAGAGAGAGAGAGAGAGAGAGGAAGAGAGAGAGAGGGAGAAAAAGGGAAAGGGAAAATCGTAAGTGAGTCGTTGACGCGTTGAAAGATATGCTAAAGGAATAATGTCGGAGACAAATGGACGTGATGGCTCGAAAACGACGATGTTTATACTTACGTTTGTCTATTTTACATTCACCGGTTCTCTTGTGTGTTCGACGTTAATCTGTCTGAGTTTGCAGGTCGAGAACTATAATATCAACATAAAGGTTATTTCATCCTAGTGCAATAAATAAACTCTAACGACCCATTTTTGTAAGATCAAGCTAACATTCGTACGATTTTACACCCTTCAACGTTGGCCTTCCTTTGTTTGTCTTTCCTCGTTTACTTTCTTTTATTTTATTTTATTTTTTTTTCATATAAGCGTTTCTTCTTCATTTTGTTTTCATCGAAATTCCATGTAAAAATGTATGAAACATGGACTTTATAAAAAATTAGATCTGTTTGTTAATCCGATAAAAAAATGTTGAACGTAATTTAACGTGATATCAATCAAACTATTTAAATAAACTATCTCGTAATTTTTCTTCGTTTGTTCGTGTGTTACTTCTTATTTTTTCTTTTTCTTTTTTTTTTTTTTTTTATTCTTTTTTCTTATACATGTATACTCATATACATGAAGAACGAATCTCAGTATTTTATCTAACGTCCAATTGAATCCATGGACGATTATAGAAGATTTATATTCTTCTGTCTCCGCATGAGCTCTCTTACAAATTGCTATGAATATTAGATATGCGACGCGTAATAACGCATGCTTTAGCAAAGAAGAAGAAGTTGCAAAGCGTTTCTGAGAAATTTACATTACTCTACTTCACTGAATCCGTTCTTGTGGTACAGTTGGAAAGAAGCTATCAGGATCTACATTTCTCCAACTTTATCGGAAATAGCCAGGCAGGTTCTTAGTAACTATATGCTCTTTCAGAAGAAGGAAATACGGAATCTCTAGATCAACCGACATCTAAAAAACCCGTTTTATCGAATATAAAATGGAATTTCAGAGAAATTGAAAAAACCTTAATCTTGGTTTTGCACGGATCACGATAAAAACATTTACGTGAACAATCGAGAAACTTTATTACAATCGTGAAATAAGTATGAAACTTGATTAAACTTGTTCAGAGATATTGTTTCGTTATTTTTATACAAATGTAAAACTGTAACAGCATGGTACATATCATTCGTCATCTTGGCACAATGAGAATTATTTTGTGTCCTCGACTTTTTTTCTTTCCCATTTTCATATAGACGCCGTATTTTCTACTATTCTTTTCTCATTCTTTTCTGTTTTTTTTCTCTCTTTTTAACTTTCTTATTCTTCTACCTAAGAAAACTACAATTTTTATCGCGCAAGTCTAGATAATAATAGAACAAGTCACATCGTTAACCTATATCGTACGTACGTACGTAATTTTTTTTTATTTTGATAGGCATTGAAGAGGGAGAAAGAGAAATCAAATAGCTCCAAATGGTTTTGTAAGGTACTTCTAAGTCAGACTTAGGAAAAAGACTGAGAGAGGAAAGATATATAGAGGAAAAGAAAAAACGACGTTTGAAAAGAAAACAAAAGCGCTGCTAAGCTCGAAGGAATCACGAAAATGTTAAGTTTCCCTTGAAGATGTCCTTGTATAAATAGTACCTCTTTCTCTTCCTCTCTCTCTCTCTCTCTCTCTCTCTCTCTTTCTTTATCATTGTGACGTTCGAACAGAGTTCGTTTATCTTCACAGACGTCACCAATATGGCCAACCACCATTCGTATTCGTTTCTGAAGTGAGATTTTTTTTCGGCTACCCCGACGTCTTCTTTTCTCTCGTTGCCAGGAATCTACTTCAAGTGATGTCGTTTTTCTTGATCATTCGCTCGATCTTATTTACGAGCTACCAAGACCAATTCACTTGGGATTAATTTATGATATTACCAAAAAGGAGACGGTTCAAAGGTCATAAAAAAACGTTCGAGCACGATTTTTTCTATCATTCCCTCTTGTTTTTTTTTTTTATTTAAAATACAATAGATTATAATTTTTTTTTTGTTATTCGAATAAAAACTGATAAATTTTATCGA